ATTAGACTGCACCATTGAAAACATAACATTTAAGGTGTACCATACTTTGAATCAAATATTAATTATGAAATTGAAAACACCGTTCGATGAAATTTTCAGGGTAGATAAACGATGAAACAGACATGTTTTTAAAATAGGATTGAAAGAAAAAGTCATGTGATTTTTTTTAAAGCCTTCAAAGATTTTTTTAAAACTTGTTTAGTGTTTTGAAATTACTTTTTTTTGTTGCTATGTGTTTACATCTGAGGACAAATGTGATAATTTTGTTTGTCTAGTCATGTATCCAGCTAAGTGAGAAAAAAATCATGACTGCATCTATGCTACCTACATCACTGTACACAAAAATGTATTGAAAGTCAGAAACTATTAAAAAAGAACTAAAAAAAAATCATAACTCGAAAACTATTAAAAATCGTAGAACACACGTTATTCGGGTCTGTCTAGGGGTGCTCTATCTCTGGGTTTCAGCTTTACCATACTTGTTGGGACATTCTGTATATACTTACAGTGCATTTAGTAACAATCACATTAATAAATAAAATATCAATAAGTTGCTTAAAAAACCAATAATATGATTACCGATTTCATATCGATTAAAGTCTTGCGACAAATTTGACGATTGATTAAAACGACAAAACTTGCGATACCACCCATACCACCTGGATGATTGGCGGTCCACCACTGTGCTATTTAGAAGATGTTTTCTTCCTCGCACAACTCCCTTGTGGATTCGATTACCACCAGCGATTTTTCCGGACCGATACGACTTAGGGATCTTCAAGAAAAGAGCCTACTCCTTTTTAAAAGGCCGGCAACGCATCTGCAATTCCCCTGATGTTGCGGTTGTTCATGGGCGGCGGTAATCACTTACCATCAGGTGAGCCGCATGCTCGTTTGCCCCCTTTCCTATAAAGAAAAAGTGTCTTATATTTTTAGAGTATGTCACTAGTATGATAGCTAGCTGACATTGACACTAGACAGTTGTAGACTGCAACTGCTCTTGCTTGCTCTGCTCATTTGTTTACTGTTTTCTGGTGAGTTTTGAGTGCTTTCCCGATTATTTTTAATATTCAACGACGACTGCTTTGTTTTTACGGATTTTGACCCTGCCTACATTGTACATCCTTGCTTTCACTCTGGACACCGAAAATCGCTCACACGTTTGGCTTGGAATTGTTATTCTGGAATATTACCGCCGGCTTGTGGATTGTGGGATAGCAAATAGTCACTGCAATACACTAGGTCGATGACCCTAACACTACGAAACAATTCTGTCAGTGATTTGGCAATAGCTTACACCTCAGTCCGTAATTATAACCTCATCTAGCCAGCTACCATCATGGCGGGTTTAAATACACCTGGAGAGCAATAAAATTGCACATCCATTGTAATTTGGTTTATTACTGATTTTTTTTCTTAAATGAAAAAATATTGAATACAAATCATTAGGCAAAATTAAAGCATACAAACTTACCTTTACAAAGACACAAATTAAAATTATTGACATTCACGTAACTTACAAAAACTAACCGTAAACCAAATTCACCCGTTTGCAATGTGACTTCTTGCACCCTTACCCGCAAGTATAAAAGGGTCGTTTTTTTTTTAATCAATTACATACCGAAGATCAACGTGATAACATCTGTACTCTATCTCTCGACGCAGAACATCGGAGCGTGATGACCGCTTTCTTCTGACAAAGTCTTTGAGAAATTGGCAACTAAACTCGGTTAAACTGGAACAACAGCTTCGAGAAATTCGCAATGTTAGTATAAGTCGGTGGACACTTAGAAGACTGGTTGAAGCAGGACTAATTTCACATCACCCAGCAAATGGTCCCAAATTGACCACAGCTCACCGACAAGTACGTCTCCAATTTGCCAGGGAACACTTAAACTGGACGTATAACCAAAGGCGTTCTGTTATATTCTCTGATGTGTGCAGAATGACTTTACATGGTCATGATGAACGCTCCACCACGAAAATTTACTAACCGCCCTCAACGTAAAAGAAAATACTGTGTCCTTACAAACACGCCATAGAAGAACGAGTTACAAACGGAATATGAAGAAAAGTCCAAGTAAGAAAATGAAAACACAAGAGACTACGAAAGACAAGGGAAAGAGCAAAATGACGAGGACAAAAGATAAGATAAAGATGGTTAAAATCCCTTGTGATAGCAAAAGTAAAAAAGAAATTTTTAAAACCTGATTCAGAATCTGAACCCAAAGAATGGTTTTGTTTAGCTTGTAGGGAAGCTTATGAAAATTCAAACGAGGAGTGGATACAATGTATAATGGGCAAGATATTGGCACATGGAAATTGTGCAACAGGAGAGATGTCATTTGTGTGTGTCAATTGTAATTCCGATGAAGACTGATTTCATATTTTACCTACTTTAATCAAAAGACTGATTACTTAAGAAGTTGAGATTTTGTTATTATAAATGTGTGCTCGTTTGTCACCCCAATTCTATAAAAAAAGATGTCCGTGCTAAGACATAATGTATAGAACTAACATCCAGACTATAGAAGTGATTATGTGGAAATTATTTTATTATTTTTTGTTCTTTGAAGTCTGCTTTTACTTAATATTAGTGTGAGTGGGGGGAAGATGAAAAACGGGGTAACACAAAAAGGCATCAATAAAGTCAGATTTTGTGTAATTTGTCCAATGCTGGCAACATTCATAAAACCGCCATTTTGTTACGTCCTCAGTCGGCACTTGTCGTTTTACGCGAGCAAGTCGGGTGTTTTAATCTTACCCCGTATCGTGTAACTTCATTTACGAGGTAGGTACGAGTTTTTTTATTTGTATACTTATTATTTTTAATTGGTAGTTATCTTGCTATGTCTAAATATCGCTACTTTTTGAATTTTAGGATTTATTGTAACATTCCGTCTTACCCGCTAATATTTGACGGGGTAAGATAAACATATAAAATTTTCCATCTTGCCCCGTTTTCAAAAGTCATATTAATAGTCTCATTTTCTCAAAATGTACCTGAAAAATGTTTTGTTTTGTTACAGCTATTATATAAATTGTCAGCGGCATAATTTCAGCTAATATTATCTAAAGGTATTTATTTTTATTTTTGTATAGAAGCAAAATGAGCAAGCGGGTCACCTGATGGCTAAGTGATTTCACCGCTGCCCATAGACACAAGAAACAACAGGAGTATTACTTGTGCGTTGCTTTCTTATAAGGTATAGGAACAGGATTCGTAGGAATGGGAGTAGGAACTTAAAGAAAGGGGAAAGACCACCAGACACTCCGTTAGTAAATGCAACATCACAGCTCCTAGAACAATGCAATGTCACATCGGTTTAATATTACAAACAGACACTCCTATTTTTTTCTGCCGACTTCCAAAAAGGAGACGGTACTCAATTCGACTGTATTTTTTTTATGTGTGTTACCTCATAACTTTGTACTGGGTGAACCGATTTCGATGATTCTTTTTTTATATGAACGCTGATAGTTCTCTTGTGGTCCCATATGAATTTGATCAAGGTCAGACCAATGGTTATTGAGTTATGCTTAAATAACTTATATTGAAGTCGCTTATATTGAAGTCGGCTGTACAAAATTTTTAATTTTAAATTATGTTATTATTTGTATAGATTGAAGATAAATAATATTTTTTTAGAAGTTTTTCTATGTTTTTTAGTTATGGCATTTTTCTAAAAATCTTATTAATTGGTTACCTGTTTAATTTTGAAATATTTAATTTTTTACGTTTTTTGCTACATATTTTGTTGACGAAAATGGTGTACGTATAGTTCAATCTTTCCCCGGCGGGGCAAGATTGAAATATAAAAAAACAAATAACTTGTGTTATCTGTGTTATTTGGAGGTATTTTGATATTATAGACAGTTCTCAAGTATCAGGACAGTCAAAATTGTAGCCTACTGACCGTCAATATCGTCTGATATTAATTTAAACGATTTTAGAAACTACTTCGATCTTTCCCCACCACCCTTTCATCTTTCCCCCTATTTTTTCTTTCGATAAAAACATTGTAATTTTTTTTTTTGCTTTCGAATAAATGTAACAGGGATTTATCGACATGACATAAAAATATGCTCTTTGTACTTTATTCACAATAGATATAATTTTAGCTTAAGTTAATATGTACTGTTCTTCTCCCCCCCCCCCCCCCCCCCACTCACCCTAAGTTTAATTTTTTGACACTTGAGTGGTCTAAGGAAAATCACACGCTCACGGTTCAAGGTCACGGTCAAGAACATAAAAGATTTTATCCCTTACTTTTTTTTACTGGCTTTACGGCCTTGGGTTCTAGTCCTTCTGAGCCTTATTCGTTACTTTTCCAACACAACATAGTTCATATCATAGGATCAACTGTGAAGTATAAATTATGTTAATGTTAAAAGTTACAGCCTAACACGTCCTACTGGTGGACACAAGCCTCCTCACATTTCTGTACTTTTTAAGTCCCACTGGGTTTCTTGTTGGTTCTTCACAGGACCAGACGTTTTATCCAAACGTGTGGTAAAGCTCAAATGACTTTGAATAAGTTTTCTTGTAATCTATATTAAATAAAAAATATTGTATTCTATTCTATCATAAACCAACCACACATAACACAAGAACTTTAAGCTTACCTGGAGTGGTTAACTTGAATATCCTACAGACCGAATTTCGGTCACGTCGGCCAGTCTCAACTGAGACTTGCCATCGGCGCAGAACACGATTATAGTGCACGAGTGTATGCGCAAGCACAGGTGCACTCTCTATTCCCTCACTCTCATAGTCTGATGAAACGGTATTCCGACACGACCGGAGATAAATCAGGCGCAGGACCTACGGCTTTACGTGCTTCCCAAGGTACGAGGTAGAAAAGGAATGAGCATTCGAACCCAGGAGCTCATGCAACAGCAACCGCGCTTACAACCACCAGATCAACGAGGCAGTGTGTAACTAGAATATTAATAATAATAATAGTAGGACTAGTATTTTCTTCAAAAAAAAAACTAACCTCTTATCGGAATCCCGTATGTGCTTGGAGTGGGTCTTCAAGTGGTGTTTCAGGCCTAACGGCGAGCGGAACTGGGTGTTGCAGAGGGCGCAGAATGTTTCCGGTGAGGCGCTAGTGTTGTGCACCGAGCGGTGTGTGGCAAGACTCGACTTGGATCGGTACCGCTTGCCGCATTCATCGCACGAGTACACGCGATCCGATTGGCCGTGGACCGTGCTGGAAGCGGAAGGATTTTTTTAACATACAATAAAAGTGACAAACGGGTACACAGTCCACTTGATGGTAAGTAGATGCTGTAGCCCACAGACATCTACATCTATCCTCTATTAAGAATCAAAATACAGATGTGTTGTCAGCCGTGAGAACGAAGTTGGAATACCTCGTTTCCAGTAAAAAGGGTCTCCGGTTCTCTACACTCACCATCTGAAACACAGCAGCGTTAAGGTGCTATTTCACGTTGGTATTCTGCGAGAGCGTGGTACTTCCCCGGTCGAGCCGACCCACTTATGCTACAACCAAAATATAGTTGCAGCAGGGCTGTATCACATTGAAATGGTGTTGCGATTAGTGGTGACGAATATAGTGCACGCAATTGAGAGAGGGCAAGAGGTGCTCTTTAAACTAGGTAAGACACATCATTATATTTTATTAAACAATTCTAATCATTTTTAACATCTTTAACATAATGCTAATTAATTTTTAACATCTTTAATAAAATGGCTTTCCGCAAAATAACGCCTGATTCTATTAATTACAATAAAAGTGTAAATATAAACAAGCACAAAGTCCACCTGATGGCAAGTGGATGTTGTCGGAATCAAAATGCAGGTGCGTTGTTCCATCCTGAGGTGACTTTGCAATTAATCCTTTATCAAATTAGATATAGATGACTAAGGACCACGGTTTTACTTAGAAAAAAAAACAATGTTTTGAATGAACAATCAACTCGCTTATTACTCACAACATATGCACCCGGAGTCCTGTTGCGTGTACAAAAGTATTACCACATTCTGTGCATTCTACTTTTCCTTTGTGCTTATCGCGATGGTAGCGGTAGCCTCGGTGTGACCTGTAACAAAAATATCTTAAATTCCCACTAGTTCAATTAATTAGTTTCATCGTTGAACAAGTGACACTTTTCCAATAGTTTCAACTGAATTATAAATCTAAAGGATTTATAAAGTTCAAGTAATGAGGCAAAATAGTTGAACTGACATCACCTGATACAATATTCTATACAAATAAATAAAATTGAAGTGTCTGTTTGTAATGTCAAAATAACAGCTTTTTACTAATTGCATATGAAAGTATATACGGTACTTATAACAAAAACACAATTATTAACATTTCGTCCGTCTGTTTGTTCCAGCTAATCTCCAAAACGGCTGGACCGATTATGACGGGACTTTCACTGGCAGATAGCTCATGTTATAAGGAGTAACTTTGGCTACTTATATTTCAGAAAAATATTTAGGGTTCCGCGCAACAAAATTAAAACCTAAAATTACACGCGGGCGCTATCGCGGGGAACAGCTATAAAAACGTAAGATTAAATTCATCATCATCATGATCATCATTGCAGCCCTTCAATAGTTCACTGCTGAACATAGGCCTCCCTCAAGGAATGCCACAAAGTACGGTACTGAGCCACCTGCATCCATCGACTTCCTCCATGTCTTACCAGGTTGTCACTCCATCTATTGGGGTGTCACTTAACACTTTGCTTGCAAGTACGAGGTTGTCATTCAAGAAAATTTTCCCCTTGGTTGTCGGTTGTGCGAGCTATATGACCAGTCCATTGCAACAGCTAACTAACCCGTTTAAAATGAAATTATGAATTACAAAGTCTCGATATCCAGTACTTTCAAATAAATATATATTCACTAATTATCCTTAATTGCTCGAGCTATCAGTGATAACTGATAATGACTAGTAGATAAATGTATTGCATTGATTAAACTAAAAAATTGTGCGTGTAATTGTGCACACACGTACGAAGTGAAACTTCTTTACGACATATTGTTGACAGTTGTTTTTATCTAGAGTATGATATTAATATACAACACAATGCGTCAGTGGTTTGAATTTTAATTTGTTTGCACTTTAAAACTCGTTGTTTTAACTTTTCTACTTTTAGTTATATTTATAGTTTGTATTATTCATTTCTGATCTAATTAATATAAAATATGACTAATGATACGGAAAGAAAACTTAAAGTTTACATTTTCCTACGAAATTATCGTCCCCGCTATGAAATCTGTCAAATATTTTACCTCACTGTAAAGTGGCTCCACCCGGGTGACAGAAAAAGTCGTGGATGCTCTCATTACGATTGGATTTCATGGGTTTTAATTTTTTTGCGCAGAATCCTAATTCTTTTTCTAAAATAAATGCAGCCAAGTTACTCCTTATAACATCAGTTATCTGCTCCTTAAAGTCCCGCCGAAATCGGTCCAGCCGTTTCGGATATTAGCCGGAACAAACAGAGAGACAGACAGATAGACAGATAAAAATTGTTTTTCGTTATAAGTAGCGTACTCACTTTAAAATACATTTAGTAAAAAACTCTTATTTTGACATTACAGACACTTCAATTTTATTTATTTGTATAGATTTTACATGAGTAGGTTATCTAATAGTATTAGTTACGTAACTAGAAAACGTGACGTTTTTTTTTCAAATACCATACTAGATTTGTCCACTACGTCATACAGAAGTTTCACAGAAAAATTTAAATTTAATTTGCGTCGTCGGAATTAAATCAATAATTGTGTTTCTTCTACGGAATCTGGTTTTCTACTAGCTCCTGCCGTGTAGAGGCGGTATAAGAATATCCACGACCCCCCGTGGGTGTTGTGTGAGGTGACAGAGAAAAATGAGACAGGAGATGGGCAGCAGCATCTTCCTGATAATTCAAAATAATAAAAAAACTGCGGTTGCCAATCCGCCTGCCAAGCGTGGCAACAATGGCAGAATCCCCTCATGAGGCAATCTATGAAGTAAGTCTATGTTCAGCAGTGGACTTTAATAGGCTGTAATAGTAACAGATAACTGTCTCGTCTATACTAAAGCTAAAATATTTTTACGTGGTAGAGCCATGCTGCAGCTATATTAGTAGTATAGTTGTAGCAAGAATGGGTCGGCTCGACCGGGGAGGGACCACGCTCTCACAGAATACCAGCGTAAAATAGCAGCTTAACGCTGCTGTGTTTCGTTTGGTGAGAGTAGAGAACCGGAGACTCTTTTTACTGGAAATGAGACATTCCATCTTAGTCCTCAGGGGTGACAACACATCTACATTTTGATTCTTAACCGAGGATAGAAAAATAGAAGATGAAGATATCTATTGGCCAGTGAACCTACTTACCATCAAGTGGACTGTGTGTTCGTTGCCACTCTTTATCCTATATACAAAGAACTTAACAATACGACTAACAATTTAAATGTTGCAGGTAGGGACTGAATCTCAGTTGCTAAATTGACGGCTCCGTGGCGCAGTGGCTTAGCAATGAGTTGTTGCGCTGGGGGCCGCGGGTTCGAATCCCACACGGAACAAGAATTTATATGGCCTACAAATAATAGTTCCGGGTCTGGATGTTTGTCCTCGTGAAAATCTATGTTTGTAAACTGCCTCCACGATACAGGAAAAAATCCTAGTGTGGGGGTAACGTAAAAAAAAATTTACAGTGAAATTTATAGCATGCGCATAGCCTCTGAGCTACTTCGACTCGACACACATTCTGAAGTCGAGACTAATTATTCTCTACACTATGTGACACACAGACTTCAGAATGTGAAATTATTTTATTTCCTTTTAATTTTTTGAAGTTGGTTTTTGCAATCTTTACATAGCAAACGCAAACAAAGTTGCTTCCCACCGTCTGTACACTTAGATCTTTTAATCTACGCAACGGATTTTGATGCGGTTTTTATCAATAAACAGAAATATTCAAGAGGAATGTTTGTATGTCCAAAACATGCATATTATAAATTATATAATTCATCTGTCTGGAAGTCAGTCACATACGCATGGTATATAACATATAACACCCAAACGGCTGGACCAATTTTTATGAAATTTTGTGTGTGAAGTTGATTAAGAGAATGGTTTAGATTCACAATTGGACCCGGTAGATGCCATTGTTGTCGAGATCCAACAATCAACCGTGCGAAGCCGGTACAGATCGCTTATTTTATAAAAAGTTAATTTTAGGTTAATTACACAAAAAATCTTGACAGTCACCCACTCGGTAGTGAAGCCGCACTCCTTGCAAGTGAACAAAGTGTTTATGGTGCCATGCTGTTCCTTATAATGTTTCACAACTGAGTAAACATTGTTGTTCCGTTTTCCGCACACCTCACACTCGTATCTGAAGCAGAGACAAATATATATTTTTAAACTCGGTTTATTAGAGTAACAAGTTAGCTACATAGAAATATGAAATAGCAGCTTAATAATGATGTGTTTGGTGAATAAAAAGAAGAGGAGACCAATATTACTGACATCCAGGCATTCTTAGTCCTTGGTCTTTAATCGAGGGTCTATGCGCCACAATATCCACTTACTATTAAGTGGATTGTACGATCGCTTACTACTCTTATTCTATAAAAAATCTTAGTCTCAAAGGCACCCAAGGGACGAAATCGGGCAGTAGATTATCTTATTCCACCACTACACAGCTAAGGTTAGTATGGTTAAATCATTCAAATTATGTATACCATTGAGCATAATACTAAAAAAGCCTATATCCAACAGTAGAATAAAACCAGTTGTTGATATCACATCTTTATTAATTTCTACTTCAAGACCAACAATGATGCCTAGGTGATATCTACAACTTAAGGTTCAACATCTCACATATTACAAAGAATTAAAAATATTATACATGGTAGAGCCATGCTGCAGCTATAATAGTAGTATAGTTGTAGCACGAATGGGTCGGCTCAACCGGGGAAGTACCACGCTCTCACAGAAAACCAGCGTAAAACAGCAGCTTAACGCTGCTGTGTTTCGTATGGTGAGTGTAGAGAACCGGAGACCCTTTTTACTGGCAAAGAGGCATTCCATCTTAGTCCTCACGGGTGACAACGCATCTTCATCTTGAGTCTTTATTGATGATAGATGTAGATGTCTATGGGTCACAGTAACCACTTAACATCAGGTGGACTGTGTGCTCGTTTGTCACCCTCTCCTATAAAAAAAAAACTTGATTCTTTAATTCAGAACTTACCGTCTCAGATGCCGTTTCCTGTGTTCCTTGTAAGATGTTTCTGTGCTTAATACCGATTTGCACACGTCACATACAAAAGCTCCTTTTTTCTGAAAATTATTTGTACATTACTAAACATAAAAATACTTTAAAGAAAATCTATATATATATATAAATAAAATTGAAGTGTCCATCTGCTATATCGAAATAACTGATTTCAATTAACCTCGAGGGTTTATTTGCATACTATTAAGACATGAATTTTAAAATTTTTGTCTGTGTCTCTGTCTGTCCGTGCTAATATTTGGAAACTTCACATACAGATAGAGGGCAATGCCAAGAGTGATCTAGAATATATTTAATCCGAAAAATGGAGGGTTTTATGTGAAATGGAAAAACTTTACTCCCTTTGTTGTCTATATGTCACGCATTAGAACCAAACGGTTTGCTTCGTCTTTTGTAATGCGTACAGCAAAGGAGTGGAATAATTTGCCGGCGTCTATCTTCCCGTCCGAATACAATCTAGGCGTCTTCAAGGCAAGAGTGAATAGGCTTTTGTTATGCCAAGACAGTGCGATTTACCATCTAGGGCTGTATCACCACTTACCACCAGATGGGATTGTGGTCAAGCACTGGCTTATAATAAGTAAAAAAAAACTGATAACAAATGATTTTTGATGATTATTATACAAATTCTTATAACGCCGGTGTAAGAATATCCACTACCCTACATTGTACCCTACATGTCGTAAGAGGCGACAGAATATAAAACAAACATGTGATGGACAACATCTTCCTGATAATAAATCAAAATAATAAAAGACTGTAGTTGCCAACCCGCTTGCCAAGCGTGGCAACTATAGCATTCCAAACGTGGTAGAGCCATGCTGCAGCTATATTAGTAGTATAGTTGTAGCACAAATGGGTCGGCTCGACCGGGGAAGGACCATAAGGATGTCTGTGGGTCACAGCAACCACTTACCATCAGGTGGACTGTGTGCTCATTTGTCACCCTATCCTATAAAAAAAAATCCCCTCATACAGTTATCTATGAGGGAGGCCTATATTTAGCAGTCGACTTTTATAGGCTGTAATGTAATGGAATGTGGGGCAAAATAAGGTTCAGGGCAGAAAGGGATATTCGCTTGTTGCACTTTGTTCGTTTGTTTTGTTCGTTGGCTTTGTTCGTTCATTATTCAGTCGCCTGCCATGAATAAAGGTAAGCGCAACGTGTCGGTGTAATTAAGGCCTGTGGTACGGCCTGCAGCTGCCCCTGCAAAGGTCGTCTTGGCTGGGGCCCATAGCAGCTTCCTCGACGGGCAGACGCGGGTCGGGCTCAATGGCCATATGAAAGAATTTCCTATCATACTAAGCTATATGGGAGAATGCTAGGAAAATATAGTACGTACAGACAATCAACCGGGAGACGCTCTCGAACAAGGAATGCGCGGTTCGAATCCTAGACCGTATATCTACTCGGCGCGCGCGTGCGAAATTCCGCATCAACCGAGCAAGTTAAATATTGAAAAATTCACATATCCACGTAGCGAAGTAACACGCATTAAATCAAACCATCTGGACCTTACACCGGTCGCGTGAACTTCCGCCGCGATAACCTAGATACGCGGATTCACCGCATCGCGGTCAGCGAGCTACTGGTATCGCACTCGCGTCCTGCACTCGCGCCCTCTGCCGAGCGAACCACACGAGAGTGGGGCGACGGTGACCTTCACAAAGTCAGCGGGCGGACACGAGTGTTGAATGCAAATTTCAATGTCAATTGTTTGGCCTAAACAGCCTGAATTCCTTCTACGCTAACGTCGGTCGCGCGTACTAATGTACAGTGTTCTGTATAGCCCCATATTACGACGCTGACGACAGCGGCGCGTAGTTTGCTACGTACGCGTACGCGTACGCGACCGACCGTACACAACCGACGTCAGCGTAGGAGGAATTCAGGCCTTAGCGTCGTGGTTCCCAACAGTTCTCAAGTGAATTGTTTTGTTTTCGCCCTAGACGGAAATTTATCGACCAAATTAGTGTATATATGATGGGCTAAATTATGAACATGTTGCAAAAGTATATAACGTATAACGTGAAAGAGACGAAAGAGGGGTGTCAGGTTCGTACCAAATGGAAGTCGGGAGTTTCTGCCTACCCTTCTAGGGGAGAGGTGTGAAAGTTTATGTATTTATGTATGAATGTATGTATGTTTGTATAGAAAGGCGACTCATCGGAACATCTGTAGGTCCAATGATGAAATTCAATTACAGTGTATAAAAGTCCAATGTTGAACATAGATGTCCCCCATAGATTGCCTTATAGGGCTTAATTTTTTTTTTTATTTTGATTATTTACCATATTTGTCACAATTAGCAGGCAGGTTGGCAACCGCATTTTTTTAATTACTAATGTTATTAGGAGGACGCTGCTGCCCATCTCGTGCCTCAGTTTCCCTCTTTCGTCTCTTAAGACACCCACGGGATGACATGGGATAATGGATATTCTTACAGTGCCACTACGGTTTGAATCGTAAACCGAATTGACTTCGAAATCAATCTTGAAAGTAAGCCTGCAGGGCTTATTTATTAACTGAAGAAGAAACTATACTCACATCACTATGTCTTTGTTCAATATGCACTTTCAAGGTCTTTTCATGGTCAAAACCAACTATACAACTCTCGCATTTGAAAGGTAGATTTAAGTAAGATTTCCTCAGAGCATCCGTCTTCCGTTCCTCCATCATTTTCTCCCAACTTATTGTAATAGTTTTAATTTTTCCCTCATATTTCTCGTGCGTCAGGGATCTCTTCTTCACTTCAACCTTCTGTTTCTTATTTCGATTTCCATCCGCATTCCTGAGCTCTTTAACCTGTTTTATTTGAGCTAGAGGCAGATCAGGGTCACAATCGAAATCACTGTCATGTTCTACCTTTATTTCCGTGATGACATGTTCTAAAACAATATCTGATGAGACAAAATTTTCCTTATACTCAAATTCTATCGGTTGGCAGTTGACTGTGGAATTTATTTCTGTTTTAGAATTTTTTAATTTATATTTCCAAGGCTTTGGTTGGTTGAACTGAAAATTAAGTATTTCATTAATTTTACTTCATTACGACCCAAGGTATCAATATACCTACAGTAACCCTAAAAAAATCTATATTATATAAAATTATATACTTTTTTTGCAAGATATCTGTGTACTTTGACACTCAATTTTACAAGATTTTCCTTCTCAGAACTAAGAAGGATAAATTAATTGCAACACTATAGGAATGAGAATAATTGATGCCCTTTTTTAAAAATATGTATGTTAATTTACTGATTAGTCAAAGATGGATTGCATTGATTTGGTTTTATGCATTTCATTCCTTAATTTTATTTTTATCTTAATTATTTTATATTAATACCATTATTTATACGCTTACCCAAAGTATTCTTCGTTTATGATAAGTACATAAAAATTCTCTATATGGCTTAAACGCCAGTGTGGAAAAATAATAAGGTTTAAATCAATTTATTCATGAATGAACCCAACACTCAATCTACAAAATATTTACTTAAAAAGACAACATATTCAATGCAATATTTCATCATCATTTCAGTCTATCAAACGTCACAAAACAAAGGCCATAGATTTCCACATTGTGGGTATATTTGCCAAAGTTGCTATACTGAGCAGGTGGCAACCGCGGTTCTTTTATTATTTTAGGTGGTTATCAGAAAGATACTGGTACCCATCTATTTCATTCTCCTCTATCGTGTCTTGCAACACCCATGGGATGATGTGGGGTAGTGGTTTCTTTTATGCCACCTCTAAACAGCAAAATAAACAGGATATGGAACACAACATTCATAATCTTTTTAAAACATACTTAAATAACCTATTGTGTATAATTTATTACTTACATTCCCTCTTAAAGCAGCACAACATTCTTCAACCTGGCATTTGAAACTGTCTATTTTTCTTATAATATTGTGACACTGGTAGCAAACAAATGCACTTGTAAGATCCACCTTGAAGAGAATTTAGAAAAATCATACAAAAAAATATTTATGTAATTATCACATAGACTATTTATAACTAAACATTGAGGGAATTCAAAGTTTTAGGATACTAATTGTATTCCAAACTTTGTCAGTGGCCCTGACTATCATCATCATCATTACAGCCCTTTAAGTTCATTGCTGAACATAGGCCTCCTCCAAGGTATGCCACAAAACATGGTCCTGGGCCATTTGCATCCATTGACTTTCTGCAAGTCTTAGCAGCTCATCAATCTATCTAGTGGAGGGCTGCCCCACACTTTGCTTACTGGTACGAGGCTACCAGTCAAGAAACTTTCTTCCCCATCGTTTGCTGGTTTTCAAGCCTACTGCTACTTCACCTTACTATCCATTGTGCTATGTTGGTTACTCACATTCTACTGTGGATATCCTCATTTCTAAGCCTATCATGCAGAGAAACCCTAAGCATAGCCCTCTCCATAGCTTGCTGAGTGACCTCAAGCTTTCTCATACGGCCAGCAGTGAAGGACCACATCACAAATCCATATGTTATCTCTGGCAACACAATCTGTTTATACAATCTTGTTTTCACGTTTTGAGGTATACCTGACGAGACTATAGCTACCACTAAAAGGTTTGAAAAATAATTTATAGTAAGTAAAATTAAACAAAACATAATCTAGAATAGTCAGCTGTAGGTATTCAATGGTTGTTGAAAATTTTACACTAATATTGTCATCCAGACCAAATGTCAATGTGCTTATCATTTTGAATGAACATACTGAAAACTTACTTAACGAAAAATAATGAATGTACTACCCCATCACTCAGGAGTTAAGAAACTTTAAGAAGATGTAAAGTATTGTGGTTGCCATGAAAAATAAACCTGAAATACAACCTTTTTTATAAGATACCGCACACATTTATACAAAAAAATAATCAGTTTAATTACTAATTATCAGTGGACTAAGGTATATCATAATCTCAATGTCGTCTAAATAGTCCCTTAATGGGAACTTTATTACCTATTTTTCCCCCCCATAGTTGTGCAATTTTTACTCCAGTTTTATGTAACCACCACTGAAGTATAATCTATTTAATTTTAAAAAAAATATCTAAATCATATATTATGTTATGTGCTGACAATTTTCACGTCTCCAACGGTAAAATCTAAGCTAACCCTGATCAAATAGCGGTTGGGAGATGGGTGAGTAAAGACAATAAGCTGACTTAATATACAAATGAGTAACAGTTGATAACTATTCAGAATTTTTTATTATCTTGAATCTTGATTGATATCTAAGCAAGAGAACAATATTTATCATCTAAAACAAATTATGCTTATTTCATAAAACTTTACTAGCAGTAACTGAAAAGAACTATAGTCAGTCAGCCATCTTTGAACTTGAAATAAGACACCAATTTTATATTAGATCACTATAGTATGGTAGTGTTCCTTCTCAGAATTATACAATATAAAAGGAATTATTTATTATATTTCTCTTAAACTAAACTTGCCTTATTTTCAAATAAAGTAAATAAAAAACTAGCATGTTTACAGCTATCGAGTTTGATAAGTAGCACATCCCCTGATAGACAACAAACACAAAGTTTCAATTGTGAATTTGGGGTTACACTTTGTTTTTCATTTAAATTAAAACTAGATGAATTCAATTCAGTGAACTGCGTCATTTCTAATTAAAATATGACTTTATTTTAATATGACTTTCATAGTTCTAGGTTCTCACTTTGTACCACTTTGTACAAATTCACAAACTATCAAACTATATAGAAACCTGAAACACTACGAAAAATTAAAATTACAATATTTTTTAAAACTGGCTTTATGGCTCTGGGTTCTGGCCCTTCCGAGCCTGAAGTTAATTATGTATATAAAAGGCACAGACAAACTAGTAGATTCTATCCGAATCAGACAGATATCTCACGAACTAAACTTACTCGACTTAGCTCTTTGAGCATAGAAAATATGCTCAAAGACTTAGCTTCTGCATCTTGATTCGTTGTAGCAAAATGATATTTGACATTTCTTTTTTTTAAATTTGAAGTAGCTATATGAGGCAAAGGACATCCCAAATAACAGCCACTTACAAAATTAATTTTATTATGTTGAAAATAAAACGAGGTACATACAAACAATATTGAAATTTAATACTTTTTTTATTAGTTATTAATGTTTACTTTACAATAGGCTTGTTTACAAATTTAATAATAAAAGAAACTAAAGCTTATAACTTATCACAGTCCCAATTTTATTTTTACAATAATTTTGTTAACAAATTAAACAATTAATTTATTAATTGTATACAATATTTAAAAAAAAGTATATAAAAAAAACTATATAACTTAATTATCATACAGTCCTCATTTTAAATTTACAATAATTTTGTTTACAAATTTAGAATTAATGGATAAGTATCAATATAAGGTTCACCAGTTTCCTTTCGTTACTCACTTCCCTTTCATATCCTTTAAACAGGCTCTTTATTTTTAATAATTGTGCACTAACATCATCATCACAATTAAAAGATGAGCACTAAAACTTAACGAGTCCTGTAATTAATAAAGATTAAAATGCATTTATGAAATAGTGGCATCATAAAACTTTTTATTGTACTCATTCAGTTTTTTTTTTTTATTTGGGCACTGTACATTCATGATCATATTTAATAATAAATTTTTAAATTTTGTAGTTTTAACAAAGCTTGCTGCCAGAATGTCAAAATGCTTAAATCTTCCCTACTTCTTTTATTATTTATCACTTCACTTCCATTCATACTGTCAAATAGGTCATCCATGGAAGATACTATTTCTGCAGTATTTTTCTGTTTTGCTCACCGGCCACCCATCCGAATGAGCTGTAATAAATATTTGTGAAATATTATTAAATGAAATATCATTAAGTACTCTGTACAATATTTTTAAGTTACAGAAGAAGATTGTGTTTTTGTAGAATTAAACATGACAAGCAAGCAAACATTTCACTTGATACTAAGTGAATGCTGTGGCCCACAGACACTTACATTAATCCTGAATAAGATATCACAATGCAAATGCAATGTCACCCTAGAAGACAAAAGAATGCCTTTTTACCGGGTAAGAGTCTCTGGTCCTTACCACTAGTCATGTAAAACACTAGTTTTGTGGTGCTATGTATAAATATATTTAATAAAATAATTAATATAATAACTTACAAAATACAGAGGTAGAATTTAAGGCTTCTGTCACGGTTTTACTAAATACACACACATAATTCTTAACCTGCAAATAATCCATAAGATTTAATTGGGAAAAAGTGTAACATGTATAAAAATCAAATTACATGTAATTAAAATATATGTAGGAAGTATAGTGGGTATAGTACAGAGACTGATTTTGTAGTTAGGAATAATAATTAATTCGTTTACACGAATTAATTATCCAACGAGTCGAGGATAATCTAGTAACGGAATACGACAAGCGCACCGTTCCACGTCAGAGCCAAGACTGTCCTAACGGCGGCCGCTCCGTCCGTTTTATACAAGCAGTACGGGTGGCAACGCAGGTGCAATGCCGCAGGTGTGCGGTACACGTGTCGTTTACAAGAATTCTGTCTAGCTAGACAGACGCCACCGCACCTACAACGGTGCAGGTGCCGTCATATAATTACAATTATTTTATACCTTAATTTTTTTTTCAGGAATATCATGTTCGTCGTTAAGTTTGTGTAATTAACGTGTTTCTGCATGTTCACAATCTCTCATCTCATCTCTCACAATTCTACATTGTCAAATATGTCAATGTAGAAATCTTTTCTTGGTATTGTATATTTTTTGTTAAAAAATTGTTTCGTATTTCTTTGATTAAATGTGGTGGATCAAATATGACAAGCATATAAAAACAATTTATATGTATCAGGTCATCTAAAAATATAAAACATATTAATAACAAGGCAATTCGTTTTGATTTATTGTACCTGTTTTTATTTTCTCTTAATTGAACTGCTCTAGTTTCCTCTTGCAGTAATTTAAATCAGTAATAATACTCAGTGACACAATGAATGAATTGGAATTAGATGGATTGGAATGAATCAGTGTTGTGATATAGGTAATATGTCATTGAAAGGAGGCGTGTTGATGCTTCTATAACTTTAATCAGACTGTTCTTATTCTACCTAAACACTAATATATATAGTCGTGGAGGCTATACTACACTACACCTCCCACCGACAAAAATAAATTAATACATTTGTTTTTTTTTAAACTTATAAAAATAAATATAAAATATGTTTATTATTAATATAAATTACAAAAATACAATGTGATTATATATTATTTGACCTAAATGTAAATTACGAAATTAAAATATAGGTATATTCTATGGGTAATTCGGGTGGCCACATCCCTCTACCCCATAGTAATTTCAAGGTCACAATAGAATTGGTATGATGTATCATGCATACATAGAACATACCTATTTGACATAATTAGGTAATTCGCGAAGTTCTACTATAGTTGTACATTCATTTATATTTTAAAATACTCTGCTCTTATACATTTATTCATACTTTTCATCTCATTCCTTATTTTCGATTGTTAGGCCTTTTTATTATATTTTTTTTTTATAATTCTTGTACGTACTTTTTTCTGGATTTTTTTTTTACCTTTAGCTAGCTTTATTTCTCTCTATTCACTTATATATTTATTTATTATTTAGATACTGGGAATCGGAGTATTAATTCATTTCATTTATATTTTATTTCGTGATATTTATCTCGTGGGTACTTTATACATATGGGCCCACCATTTATTTGGGCATTATATTACATTTCCATTACATTCATTTTATTTTATTGGTACATGAACTTTTTTTAATCATACTATACTTATTAATCATACAGACAGATCAAAATACAAATTGTAATCTCACTCTTAGCAGCGCAAGCGATTTGAGACACCTTTGTTTTTATTAACAACGTACGTATATGGCAACGTTTGCGATTACATCGTATTATGATCACCTAATTTAAACGTAACTTATATAATGTTATTATTACATACATAATATGTGGATACAAGTGAAATGATAGTTTTAAATTCATTATTTACACAGAATTTTAGACACATTACTTTTGCTTAGATCGAAAAAGATTGCTAGAAGTATGGTATTTACTATATCGTTTACAGAAAATAATTGAATAATCACTGTAACTCATATCAACTTTACACAACAAAACATTAATTTATTTAAGCATTAAAAAGACCAATTTTAATTTTTGAGTAGGTTTATGTATATAAGTATAACTTTAAGGTTCACTGCCTTTATAAAAGAAAAGAAACACTAATACTTATTAACAATACTGAATTGTTTTTAAATAAAATTTACTACAGAAAAAAAAACAACGAAATATATCATATTTAACAATATATCAGTATTATTTTAATTATACGAAAAATTAATTTATGGTAAACTATGGTAAATTTAAATACCTAAAAATGTAATATCCTCGTAAGGCCCATGGGGTCGTCCAAGGTACTAATTAATATAGACATTCAAGCCCAGCTCCGAAAAAATATAGATACTCGTAGCTACCCAAGGTGTCGTGTAGGGGACTTATTCAATTTTGCGTCATAGTGATTTCGAATTTGGTGCCTTTGACAAGTGACTACTAAAAATTTCTGAACGAAAACTATGGCTGTCAACTAGTGATCGGGGATTGGCTGATTTTTTTGTTTTCTATTGACACATTGTCTTTGAACTGGCACGATGGTAACTCCACGAGGTCGAGGTAAGTTAAATCCATTTATATTAATGTAATCCTCTGTATTTCAGAAGAATTTTGGATTAAAACTGAGAAAATATTTATTACTAGTTTTTGTAAGTTATTTATTTGATGTTTAAAGCAGTATTTGTAGTTGATCTTACTGTCCGAAAAAAATAGTCCCGCTAGTGCCACTCCGGGCCTCAAGTAGTATGGTCTATTTTAGCTGCATGGTTTTATGATCAGTATGTATTTATTTTTTTGTATGTACAAATTCGCTTACTTTAGTTTTTTTTGGTTTTAGGTTTAAATGAGAATGAAATTGTTCTTGCTCTCAGTGATTCAGAAATTGGAGAAGATAGTGACTTAGAAAATCAATGTGAACTTGATGCACCAGTCCGTGAAATTTCGGAGACTATTGAAAGTACGACGTCACCTAATAGCTCGAGTGACGACGATACCCCTTTGTCAGACCTTTCTGCATCCCGTAATAGAAGTGTAATTCGTGGATCCTCTACGAGAAGTCGTAGAGGGTCGAGAAAATCTACTCGTTGTCGTTCTTCAAGAGATCGTCGTGGAGGTTCTAACGCGCCTGATTCTTCTAAGGATGTAGAATTACACGAACGTCGCACGTGGACTTCCTCTGATTTTCCTCCTCGAGAAACACTATTTTTCCGGCCTGCATATATGGAAGTTGATTCCAATCAATTTAACAGCAAATAAGACTATTTTCAACAATATTTGGATGTTGAATAAAACTATTTTTACGGATTCCAGTCCCCCGTGACCACGGTTGCTGGAAAGCAACCGAAACGTCGGGAATATAAAATAAGGTAATTAAACATGATAAAATCCGTAAAAATAGTTTTATTCAATGTGTAGTGTTCGCGTAAATATAAGAAATCAATATTTGGATGACGAGTTGATTGCTTTA